AAAACAATAATCATTAAAAAATTAGGTATACGAATATACCACTTTCTAATTTTTTTTATCAAATATAGTTTCCGAAAATAACCTTTAGCATAATCTCTCTCAATAAGAAGGCGCTTGCTGTAACACCCTAATCCGTCCAGGTCTGCAACCCCATTCGGACTAAAGTATTTAACTTGGTAATCGTAAAATTTAAAACTTTTCAAACACACTTTATTAATCCCAATAATATTTTTCATAACATATACAGTACGGAGTATTTAACAATATTGCGGAAGCGAATTTAATATTGACATATCATAAATTATTTCAAAACTTGTCACATCCATCCTGACAATCTCGCCCCATCTGCCGCTTGGATCACATTAAACTTTCTGTTTACCTGCGTGTAGCAAATAAAACACACTACACGCTCAGCGGTGAAGCTGAGTAAGCATATCTAAAACGTCGAACATTCAAATAAATTGAATCTCAATTCATAATCAACCATTTGATATCATGCACACAATATATGATTCAAACATTCATGATATTCTCGATATTTTATTCCAAGTCATTTGATATTCAATATCTCAACCATGCTCTTAAATTATTCTTAATCTAAGGCCAAATCATTTTGTAACAAGCTCTTAGCTATTCCTAGTCTAAGGCAACATTTCTAACCAGGCCCTTAAACTATAAATAGTTTAATGCAGAACACAAGAATCGATAATCCACCCTATGGGTCATGTGGATTACGTACCAACCGAACAATGATTTGTCGGGTGGGTGATATCCGGTCTGGATCCCGTACGTACGTTTTAACCCGAAATATGAATTGGTCAAGTAGGTATATCTTAGAGTTCTTCTNTCAATAATCAAACAATTGTCATAATGCATAATAACAAATAGCGGCCTAGTCTCGAGTGTTAACACCCGAACTTACCGTCATGCATCACATAATGTTTATTTGTCACAAACATCATTTTTATTGTACAAAATCATATTTTTATGGTTTATAATTAATTGGTAACAAAATAGGATTTTAGAGCATATTTTCAATAATATTTTCAGAACAGGATCTAGAATTGAGGAAAATAAATTAAAATAATCATTTAATTTATAAAAATTGATTTATATAATTTTAAATAATCCATTAATTCATAATAATCGATTTTTACAATTTAAATAATCAATTAATTCATTATAATCAATTTTTACAATTTAAATAATCAATTAATTAATTTTAATCGATTTTTACAATATAAATAATCGATTAATTCATAAAAAATCGATTTTTACAATTTAAGTAATCCATTAATTCATAATAATCGATTTTTACAATTTAAACAATCAATTAATTAATTTTAATCGATTTTTACAATATAAATAATCGATTAATTCATAAAAAATCGATTTTTACAATTTAAATAATCTATTAATTCATAATAATCGATTTTTACAATATAAATAATCAATTAATTCATAATAATCGATTTTTACAATTTAAATAATCAATTAATTCATAATAATCAATTTTTACAATATAAATAATCAATTAATTCATAATAATCGATTTTTACAACATAAATAATCGATTAAATGGTACTGACTTCGAACCACTGGTCTGAATAAAATTCTAATCGATTTTTAGTAAGTAAATAATCGATTTTCGGCTACTGTTCATCATCTTCTTCCTCGGGTCTGTTTCGAGTATTATGGTTTTAAAACACCAAACTTCAATTAAATTATATAGAAATGTTCTCCAAGGTTCATATATCATTTTAGGATCATCAAAATATATTTTTAACATCAAATTCAATGTTTATGATTCTTGGTTCTTCAAACACGTCGAACACAAAACTCAACCAAATGACCATTTATGAACGTAAAAACAACCTATATGAACATTCTAATCTTTAGATATATCTACGGGCTTAGCTCGAAGCTTATCGAAGGTTTTGAGAATTTTCCGGCGAAACTTCCGGTGACAATAGCTCTCAACTCCGGCGCTCTCACACTAAATTGACAGCACCACTGCGTTCTCCACACTCAAGGCTATCTCTCAGATCAAATTTGATGAAGAATGGTGAAGAAATAGAGGGTTTATATAGTAAGGTGAATGGAGAAGGAGACATGGGGATGACACCAATTCTCCTGTTTTGGCGTCTCAGTGGAGGGGACGGCCGATTCCTACGATTCCAAACGCAAGTCCCTGATTGGGACTAATTTGGTCCCAGTCGGGGAACACTTTTTGGTCCAACTTTCTCTGAATTGAAATCCGTTTGCACCGTTGTGATCGTACATTTAAACTCTATCCAACGATATAATTTTTATATTTATTTGTAACACTTTTTCTGACATCATATTTTTGGGTGGTTGACTTTGACAGAGTCAAAATTGATTTAATTGAGCTTTACTCAAAAAGGTGCTCATATTCATATCATATTATTTATTTCCATGATTTATTTCAAAAAATCATTTAAAAGTTCACTACATAACTAATTTCTTTATTTATTCTTGATTTGGGTCTGTACTCATGTTCCCAATCAAGACCACAGAAATATTCAACATATTGGATTTATCTCTATGAGATTTATCCAGATTAAGATATTGGATATCAAAACACATTTCATTTCGGCCCAAAGCCCAATAACTATTTATTTTAATCGAAACAAATTTGACTAATTGAATATTTATTCATTAAAAATTTTAGGGTATGTTTTAGGGCGTTACACTTGCACCCAAGATATTCTTGCACTCTCTATCCCAAAGAATGAATGAGGCATGACCGGTTGAATCGTAAACACGAACATTAACTTTGAACCTATATAATAAAGTGTAAAACGTGCATTAACAATAGGTCACATAGAAACATAAATGATCTGTAATTTTAATTAATCAAAATGAAATTAAACAATAGTTACTTGTAAACTCCATGAGGAACGGAAATGCGACATCCGGAACACCTGAAACTCTCGCCATCGGGGATTACTTTCTTGTTGCAATCAGTACATCCCAAATAACACCAATCAGCGACATTTTCAAGAGATGCTATTTCACCAACAATCTAATATGGCTCAGGCTGTCAATAGATTAACATTTATTGTTAGGTCTAAGTGTATTATTATTTTTGTTCTCAACGTGAAAGTGTTGTTTTTTTACCTTAGTTGTCTCCAAAAGATTTCTAATTGTGGTTATTGTCATAACTCCGTGATCATCATCTCCCCCGGCTAGCATTAGACCAACCACGGGACCCCCATCATCAACATGCAATGGTAACCTACAATATTTCATTAGTAGATAGTTAGTAGACGAAATAAACTCATTTCGACCGAAAAAAATAATATAACCATAAATTACATTGCTCTGAATGCATTGACCTCAACGGAATTGCCATCAAAAATCATGTTTGTTACGTGGAATGAAGTTGACACCGTCACAGTACCTACACAAAGAATTTGTGTTTAATTACACATTTATAAAATTTTTATTGCAATTAAAGTTTGAGGAATTGTATCTTACCCATGTAACGTTTTGGTTTGCAAAAACTGAAAAGTAAAATCACCGGTTCCTGTACATTTTGGGTCAAACAACCCAAAAATCTTTCCACATATTCTCCCCACAGGGTACACCCCAAACGATTACCCCTGAAATTTTCACATACTTAAGCAAAAGTGAATGTATAATGTTATAAGAACATTTCATATCAAATTTTTTCATACTCATGATCTTCAAGTGTTATTTCCATCAACTTTTGTTTTTCGCTCATTCTTATGTGTGTTTGAACTTTTGACCGGCCAACAACTTTCCCAATCACATCTGCATTGATTTTTTCTCGATGAGTTTGTGTGTATGAATGATCTTTCAACAATGTTTGCATATTATGATACTTTGATAATTTGTTTCAAAAATAATCTAGTACCAATCAAGACTTGATCGTTCAAAATCGGTTGGTTTTGAATCATCGCAAAAGATTTCAAATCAAACATGAAACGTGGAAAATTGCTTCCATTCAATGTTTTGACTCCACAATTTGATTCTCCACAATTTGATTCTCAAAACGTTTTTTTCCGGTTTTTTAAGATGCGTGTGAATCCTCGTGCCCTATACAAAGAAAAAGAGTTGAGATTAGAAATAGTTAATAAATAAATTATGATTAAGCGCAAAAAAAATTGGGAATGTCATACATGTTCATCGTGAAAAGCGACCTCGATTGAATATCCGCCTTTGCTCCAAACAGGAACAAAATACACACGCACGGCCCGTAATTTGAACATCAAAGTCGGCCGATTGTTGCCAAGCTCGCCAACGGGAGACCACATGCTTAAAGAAGACGTTTGAGACATTTGCTGATTTTTTTGGATGTTTGAGAAGTGAATTTGAAAGGAATGAAGTTTACATCATAATGCTAGAGTATTTATAATACATTCTCCATTATTTCTTTAACCATTCATTAAATGCTTTAGATATTAAAAATCTTTAAAATAAATGGATTTGACACAAAGTAAGTTTTTTTAAATTAACTTTATGGAGCCACTAAATCATGGTTACCAATGCAACGTTATGGAAGATGGCAATTGAATAGACATAAAGCGAAAAAGCAAATTTGATGTTTAGAAAAGGTGAAACACGTCCACCAATGCAGGCCCATATCCGTCCACCAATGCAGGCCCAAACCCGAACCAAGGAGCACTTACTTTTGGTGGGAACACTGTTCACCAAAAATGCACCTAGCATTGTATATAGGAGGATTGAAGTCAACAGTTCTTTTTTTGAGGATGAGGAGTCCCTGCTTTGCAAAAAGAGGAGTCTCCTTTTCTTGCGCAATGTCTCTTTTTTTTAGGTTCCATGTTTGCTTTTTTTCCCTTTTTTTCCTTCCCATTATATTTTTATTTAGGTAATGGATTTAATTTGGCTCATGTTTGAACTTGGCCAAACCTTCATTTTTCTTTATATTGTGCTCCATAAATCCAATTTGTTTATCTTCCCAAATTTTTGTTTTCCAAAATATATCTAGAAAATATCTGTCAAGGAAAAAGTACTTCCAAATTAATTGTAAAATATAAATATGCTAGAAATCATGCATTTTGTGTATAAAAAGTAAACAAGAGCCTAAAATGCTAAATATGATCATTTAGGTATAAAATAAATATAACATGTCTTAAAAATCCTAAGAAATGAGGGAATAAAAGATGATATTTTTGTGACTTAACACTTGTTTTTGAGTGCTTATGTGTTTCATACACTCGAAGGGAGGCTTGTTCCCTTGGTTGTACGAAGGAAGCATGTGTTCCTTCGGGTTTGAAGTCTTGGAATGTTTGTGACTCCAAACAAGTGTCGTTGAGGCTCGTGGTACTTGGGTTCTCAAGTCATATCGGTTTGTTAAGTAGCTTTAAGCTTAACAGAGTTATTAGGACCTTCAAGAGAGTCTCTTGTTGGACTTGACGTAGCCACACGTTGTGTTGAACCAGTGTAAATCTCGGTGTGCCTTCTTACGCTTTTACACTTCACGCTTTTAATTTTTATATTCCTACGATTTTCATTTCGAACAGTATTCACCCCCCCTCCCTCTAGCGCTAGGACTCTTTTCTAACATGTCTACGTCCTTCTTAACGAAGTCCCTCCCGTCATTGCTCGGGTGTCGTCTCCTCTGCTTGACGGGCTCCATAGTCGGCTCCACCATGAGGCCGTGAGTGATCAGGGACCTGCTTATTCCAGGCATGTCCTCCACACCCCTAGCGAAGACGTGAAATTGTCCCTAAGGACCTGAATGATCCGTGCTCTGAGCTCAGCCCCTATGTTTGTGCCGAGTTTAATCTTCATCTCCAGTTGATCCTCCATGATGACGACCTCTTCTACCTCCTCGGCTGGTTCTGCCCGAGACCATCCCTCCTCTTTCTACAACAATGTTGTAACGATGCTATCAATGCGTAAGTCCTGGGCATCCATCTTCTTCGTCTGCTTTTGGTACCACAGTTTAGCGAGCTTCATGTTTCCTCCGCATACTCCAACTCGGGTGTTAGTTGGGAATTTCATGCAAAGGTACTTAACAGATGTGACCGAGTCCAAATCCTCCAAGGCTGGCCGGTCAATGATGAGATTGTGGAATTCGATCATCCAGACCACCATGAAAGAACTCAACTGGGATCGTCCTCTTATGCTCTCCAACCCCAAAATTGACTATCACTTGGATCAAAACTTCCAAATCAATAATATCGCCTGTGAATCCCGATAAAGGGGTTTTCACTCGACGTAGGAGTTCCTTCTTCAGTCCCAACTCCTCGAACGTCTTCACGTATATGATGTTGGTAGAGCTCCCATTGTTTACATAAGAGCGGTGGATCACTACGTCGTTGATTTCACACTTGACGACCAGAGCGACTCTGTGCAGGGAAGGGATCTCCTGTGTGTCCTTGGGCTAAAGAGGATTGGCTCTTGCTTCACAATCTTGGATGGTCCAGGTGCGCTGCTGACATTGCCCACCTAGACCGAGTGTTGCCACCGTAGATCATCTAGTTCTCCTCTACCCTCTTCTACTTGGGTGCAGCCTCCTCCTCCTCGTCACTCAGTAGAACGATCTCCTTCCTCTTCTGCAGTGCCTCTGCCGCCTTCTTACAACGGTGGTCTACTGGTTTCTTTCCATTGTCCTTTCGCTAAGTATTCCTCTTCTTGACAAATTGGCTCTAGTGTCCAGCCAGGATCAGGTTCTCAATCTCCCGCTTGAGCCTTGCACTTGTAAGTGTCGTGGTCGGCCCCCTTGTGGAACCTAAAGTAGGGGCCATTTTCCATGACGTAGACTGGAGCAAATCTTGGATCATACTCCACCAGACCATAGTGCTCAGCGTAGTCTAAGATCATGCACACGGGAAGCGTCAAAGGTGTGTGGTCCTCTGGTAACATGAGCTTGGGACCGCGAGGAGGGTAGAACATGTAGGGTTTTCCTTCGTCGTAGGCCTTCAATTCGTATTGGTCACTTCCTTGAGGCCAACCGTCTCATGTTTCATTCTTACTCTGCGGGATATAACGAGTGGTGGCAACAAGCACAGCAAGAGGAAGCCGAATCCTCAATGCACTCGACCCTACGTGAGGGTTTAAATCATGATCGGGTCGCTGCACACGAAGCACTACTCAATGCCTACTTTAATACTCCGTGTTTTTATTCACTAGGGGATTTTAGTAATCATTTTGGATGATCCGTTCTTTATTTTTACGAGTACTCACCAATATTGAACGCGAGGTGCCTTGGTTCACCCAACAGTTTGATGCGAGAGGCCAGTGCGCTTTTAGCAGCATCCAAAAGTACACTGTCGCGCTTCATCAAATAGCGTACGGAACCGATAGGGATATTTTTGATGAATACTTCAAGATGTCGGCTCAAAAAGTCAGGTCATGCATTTATAAATTCTCTAAAGCTATTATTCGACTATATCATAAGAGGTATTTACATAAGCCGACGGTGAACGACATTGAGCAATTACAGGAGACACATGGTACTAAACACGGCTTTGTCGGCATGCTTGGAAGCATTGATTACACACATTGGGAATGAACAAATTCTCCCACTACATGGCATGGTCAAATCTCCTGGAATAATCATCCCAAGCCTAGTATTATGCTTGAAACAGTGGCTTCAAATGACTTGTGGTTTTGACGTGCTTTTTTTTGGGTGTTGCGGGCTTGAACAACGACATCAATGTTCTTGGTCAATCGTCCGTATTTGACTATTGGGTTAATGAGACTGCACTTGACTCGTCTTTTGAGCTTAGAGGTACGCTATACAAGCGTGAGTTATCTTGCCGATGGAATATATCCAGATTATTCCACAATTGTCAAGTCGCTCTCGAAACAAATCGATATTAAACGGCAGATGCACAAAAAACTCATGAGGTGGCAAAAAAATTCATCGAACGAGCCTTCAGGGTGTTGAAGGGTAAGTGGCACATTATAGATCGTCCGTCTACGTGTTATTCTTAAATGAAAATGAGGAATATCATGTACGCATATAGTAATCTTCATAATATAATTATAGAGGACAACGGGTTTGTAACGTATCATTACAATCTTAACGAGAAGGTGCATACCTACAAAGAAATCGATGAAAAAAGAAAGATGCACTAACGATAGATTTGATTGAATATATATTTAGTTCTCTCAAATAATCATTGATGTAATTTTTAAGGTGTTTTAGTTGTTCAAGTTATGTAATTTTTATTTATGTTGTTATTATTGAAATCCTTTTTTATTAATGTAGTTTTTCTTAAAATTTAGTGTACTTTTTTATTGAATGTAATTATTTTATTTAATGAATTATTGCGGTTTAAATTTAATTAATTAATGAAATCTTATTAATTTACTTTTACAAAATGTGCATTAAAAATGAAAAAAATAAGTCTGAAGCCCAGATTTGAAACCTCAAGCTTCAAATCCATTTCCACCGAAACTGTGAGGTAAATTGAAAGTGAGTTAAAGATAAATGTGTGTTTACCTTGATGTGGAAAAGAGGAAAGGTTTGAAGCCTAGGTTTGAAGGGCTTCAAACATATTTTCTGTGCTCTAAGAACTCATCCAAGCCAGACCGGGCCGATCTGCAAGATTATATATACGGGCTTGGACATTGGATTTAGCCCACGCACATTATTAAATATATATAAATATATATTATACACACATATACTCTGTATTATACAAATATATTATACACATAATACATTATACAAAGACTGAATTATCAAAATGATCCTTTCTAATAAGATATTTTTCTAAATTAGTTCTTAATAAGCAATAAATTACTTGTGTGGTCATTTATAATTTAGATTTATTCCTTAAATGATCTTGTGTCAAAAATGTCGATTAAATGACAATCAAGTAAGGGTATTTTGATATTTTTTATCATCTAAACTTAAAATATATTCTAGAAATGCTCTTATATAATTAAGTATTTTTCAAACTGATAATTTTTTAATAAATATTTTTCTGAAATGGAGTCCATGAGCCTAACTCAGGGTGGGCTTGTTCCTCTAGCAGCCAACCACTTAATTTCAAATAACAATTTTGAAACTTATCCATAATTCAAATAGAAAATACCAAAATACCCTCCATTTAACTGTCATCTAATAAGCATTTTGACAGAAGACTATTTACAAAATATATCTCAATTACAAAGAACTATATTAGTAATTATTTATTCATTGAAAATTAATTTGAGAACACACTGTTTTAAAAGGACCATTTTAAAATTTTACAAATGTGTCTTTCTAGACCCAATATAATACTCCCTCCGTCCACCTAAGATGTTCTCATTTTGACTTTTTGTGGTTTTTAAGGAGAGTTGAAAAAAGGTGAAAGTTTACCATAATACCCTTAATGAAAATGGGTGGAGTGTATTAAATGAGGTGGGTGATGGGTAATAAATAAAGTAAGTGGGGGTAGTTGTGGTATTTTAATTATTAAAAAATGAAATGAGAAGATCTATTATGGACAAAGAAAAAGGGCTATTGGGAAGATCTATGGGGGACGGAGGGAGTATAATATAAAATAATTCATTTTTAAATCAAGTAAAATAATAGATACACATCCTTTATTCATGTTGTAAGGTGTAAAAATCATATTGTGTTTATTATAATATGAAATAATGTGCTAAATAAAGATATTTTATATATTCTAAAAATATATATTAAAAAATTGCAAGCTGGGCCACCCTGTGGTCCATTTAAATCACTTACGTAGGTGGATATGGGCGGGATGTTTGACCCGAATGATGTGGGCGGGCTTGGCCCGCACACATATATGGGCAAAAAATTGACCTCAGGCCCAACCCAGATCCGTGTTTGTGGAGGTCTAGTTATCTCAAAGTTTGAGTGTTTTCTTATTCAAAAACAATGTCAAGAATCACAAAATAAATCCGTATTGGATTATTTTTAGGGATAAAGCTATTTGTACCCCAAGAATTTGTACCCCATTTTGTACACCGCAGAGATGCACCAACATTTTGTGTTGGTGTAATGCTAATTTTTGTTAACGCACCAACGCTTTATGTAAGTGTGAACTATCAAAATGTTAGTGCATAAATGAGGTACAAATTTTGGGGTACATGTAACATGCTCATATTTTTAGACATCAATGTATAAATATTTTTCTTTATGCTAGCATGTATCTCAAAATACTCTACTTAAAATTATATTTTGTGATTCAACATTTTCAAATATAAATACGGAGCATATTAATATAAATACATATTCAAGAGACCTTTAAAACACAAATGCAGCATGCGCTCATACGATGTCTATCTTCAGCATTTGAAATGCCCAAGCTGTTGAAAGAGGAAATGGCATTCCTATGATGTGCAGTATGATGGAGGAGTGGGCGGAGAGTATACAAATGGTCGGACAGAATGCGAAAAACCCGATGGGAGATTATAACTGAACTTGATACCTGGGCGGGTATTTCTCAAGTGTGTGCAGTGTTCATGGAAGCTGCTTATGGGTCTAGCCAGGCATGCATCCCATCGATCGCTCTCTGGCATACTCTCTGCTACTGTATAAATCCCATTGGAGTCCGTAAATGCCTGATAGTTTACAACTTCCCCAGACTTTGTTATGCAAAGAACAGCAACCTCTGCTCCTGCCAACCGAAAACAACCCACATCTTCAGATGTAGTTTTGAGCATATGTTTGTATGCAAGAAAACAATGGGGATGAGAGCAAAAGAATGTGTTAAAGGTTGCGGTGAAAGTAGTATTTCTTATTTTATGTATTTTTTTTTAAAATTGAAACTGTGGAGAACAAAAAAACTTGAAACATGTTCAGTTCTCTAGCTTTGCTTTCCAAATTTTGCAAATAAATGCCTTTTATCCAATTTTGTTAATTTTCACTCTCCATTACTGAAAAAACAGGGCGATCACCTAACGGTCGAATATTGCAGCCATTATAGACAACTGCAGCCCTCACTGGTAGTAGTGTACAAAATCCGGGTCGGACTAGAAAATCGGACCGGAAAAACCGGTCCTGGGCTACACAAGTTTCCGGTCTAAAAATTTAGGACCGGTGAAATTCCGGTCCATTCTGATCCAAGACCGAATAGTTTCCGGGTCGGACCGGTAAGACCGAAATTTAAATATTCTATTTTTTTAAAATTTTTAATACCTATAATACGGAGTATGTGATTATAAATACAACTTTGTACTTTCATCTGTTCTTACTTTAATACGGAGTATAATCTTTTAAATGTAATACGGAGTATGTATTTTTTACTCCCTACGTCCCCAATTTGATTACAAATTGCGGGTTACGGAGTAAAATTTCTTACTTTTTGAATTCATTTTATTTACAAATTGGTATATCAATAATATATAAAAATTACATATTAAAAAACTACGTCAAAAGTTCTATAAAACAAGAGGTGACAAAAATATTTTATTTTATCAAATACTTAATGAAATCGCGTAAACAAACAAAAGTTATCGAGAGGAGAGAGAAAAAAATTGTAATCTATTTAGGGACGGAGAGAGTAATTCATTTTCATTACTTTTTATAATTACAATCATTGACCTTTACCCAAGAATTTCCATAATTATAAAAAATTAAAATTATTTCAAAAACAATTGAAGTATGATATTCCGATTTAAAGTATTAGATACTTTGACATATAACTTATTCTTGCTAAAAACGAAATATCTTGAAGTACAACTTCATAATATTTTTGATATCCCACAAACTAACAGAAGTATAAAATAAATTTTAAACGTATCATATTCGTGATTAAAATATTTTAAATTAATATAGTTTCTTGAAACACGCCCAATGGATATAAAAATTACGATTAGGGTTGAAATCAATTCGAATCAAGCTACATCGTTGAAAAACAAGTTCTAAAAAGTTGACAAAAAAAATTTAAAAAATATATTCCCGGTTTTACCAGAAAAAACAGGTACGGATTGGAATCTATCAGGTCCGGTTTCACGTCATATACTTTAGGTGATTCTGGTTTTCTAGTTTTTCCGGTTCTGCTCCGGTCCAATTATGGACCGGAGTACACCCCTACTCGCTCGTGAGGGGGTTAGCCACACAGAAATAAATTGTGTTAATGTCCTTGGCTCGTTGCATGAGTAGGACAAATAAAAAAGGGGTGGGTGGAGTATTAATAATATTCTCAAAAAATGTAATATGAATAGCAGTTTGAGTATAAATAGTTTGCAACGGAACAAGATAAAAAGGAAATAGGTCAAGTTTTAAGATTAATAAGTGTAAAAGAAAAGCATTAGAGATAAATTGATGTGTTACCTTCCAAAACATGGTCTTCAGGGCCAATAGAAGAATCGCTGCATACATCACACACAATTCTGCCATGGATTGCGCCGGTCCAGGCTCTCACACTTATTGCAAAAGGAAATATATATAGGTAAAGTAATATCAATGCCTTCCTCCAAATCGACTCCATTCCACTCCAAATGTTTGCTTTGCTGTTTAGACAGATGTCTTTTAGTCTTTATATTTCCTTCCTTTTGTTTTCTTCTATATTACGCCAAATGAGGCAGAGACTGAAAAGTCCAAGTAACTACATATGAGTCCAATGCTTGCAAACTAATACTGATGCTTACATATTACAGGGACTCAATGAACTATTTCAAAATCTGTGTTGATAAAAATAAAGAGTTTATGCACAAATTAAAATTTAAAACAAAGCGCATTCATCCTTGAATCAAGGACATTTTCTGAGGTGATTCAAACAAACAAGAAATGTAAGAAACCATAACCAAATAATATAAATTTCATGGGATCTTGTATGCTAGTTCATTTCCATATGTAATAGTCTCTCACACACACACACACACACAGAAAGACAGAGAGACAGACCCATAACCACATAGGCCACACATACACCTCTTTCTCTCCGTCTCACTCTCTAAAACAATGTCCATGTTGAATAGCAGGTGAAAGAAAAAAAATGTGAAGGAAAAACCAAGTGGAATTCACAGCAGGAACTTATGCAGATAAATCTTCTTGAGAACCACATCCAGATATCCTTCAGAATTTCAATCCTCAACAGTACAATCAGGCAACTTTTAACATCAAAATGCACTGATAAAATTCCCCATCAGGATAAGATGAAAATAAATGCTCAACAAAATGCTCCAACAATTTACACACACATAAGAATGTTTCTGAGACATTCATGAGAAAGAAATACCTTGAAAAGCAGTTAAAATTTGGATTGGATTATGTGCAAATGTTATTAAGAAGCATAACTAAATCATCATTCCATTGTTTTTCTGTGTCTTTTTCGAAATAACATATCTACCTCTTGCGGTAGGTGAAAGGTCAGCATGCATACCCCATACCCTACTTTCGATTGTGATTTCCAGTTTCATATACAGGTAAGGTATTATGTGCATTGAAAAAATTATTCTCAATTCAAAGTCTCAAATAGAACTCAACTATTATACATACACTCAAAGTAGACCTACAAGCATGAGTAGATTCCAGATGCAATTCATGGGACCAAAATGGCAGGTCATTTAACTCCAAACATGAGTATAGAAACATCTAAGCTCTAGATATTAATTTTGTGCAAACATTGCAATGGACACATTGAAATCATAGGTAGATGCAATCAAGTTATTCTAAGGTAGAAGAGTATTATAACAGATTTTGGAAGTGGATAGATTTTTTAAACAAATAATATTGAAAAACAATTGTTAAAAAATAAATTAGAACCATAGTTATGAAAAGCTTGTGGCTTGTGGCGAGTGGCGGGCTAGAGGATGTTTCTTGTGGCTAGAAGCGTGACGAGTGGAGGGGGGTCAAATGGCAAACAAAAAGAAGTGTGTGTGTATGTACACACACATATATAATGCATGGCATATCATTAAGTCTTAAATAGTGGAGTATATAATTGTCAAAGAAAAACAAAAATCACAATAAATAATATCGTAAAAGAAAAAATCATTATTTTTCTAAACTGAAAGAACAATACACAAATTGAAAAATATAATAGTAACTATTAATATTAATTAATTGAATAAAACACAAATTACAAAAAACTAATTAAGAATAATATCCTAAACTTTTGTGACCTGATGCTGCTGTGCTGACTACTGGAGTGCTGGAGGAGAATCGAGACAGGGAGGTGCAACAATTGAAAGTTGCGGGTCTTGCGACTCTGGAACCTGCGATTGGAGCAGTGTCCAAGTTGGGAAGGTGAATCGATGGAAGATTGGAAGAGCCGATCGGGAGTGGAAGACTGGAATGGCGATTGACGAGCATAGATTACGATCGGCGTAATGTAAAAATCTAGGAAAAATCTATTTTCAAAACTTATTTTTTTCAAAACTTATTTTTTAAAAAAATCTAGGAAAAGGAAAAACGGATACAAAATATTTAAAAAAAAGGGAAAACACAAATAATAAACTAAAATAAAAAAAATAGCACGAAAGCCCCCAATGGTTTAGAAATTATGCGCTAATGCTCTCTCTTCGCTGGAAAATGGCCAGAAAATGATCAGAGAAGGTGTGGGTGCAACTTTTTGAAACCAAGGAGACTTTATAAATAAGTTTTGAAAACAGAAGGAGTATTGATGCCAATTTTCCAAACCACAGGGGGCACCGGAGTTATTTGGCCGATCATTTTATGCTCAAGCCCAATTTAATTACTCGATTAAGGTTGAACAATGAAAAAATGGACGTGTAAATTTCAAGAATAGTACTTCAATTTTTACAAAAATTTCAATTCAATAGTTAAACTTCAAAATCTTTCACAAAAGTACCTGAACTTTTACCATCTCTTCACTAAAAATCCATTTGTTTATTACCAGGTGATCAGTATAGCAGTATGTCACTTTGGGCCAAATTGCAAAATCCAAATTTTTATTTTTTCACATTGGTCCTCATTCCTTCCTTCTCTTCTCCTTACACTCCCATAAATTGTATTCTTTTCTTTTTCAACCCACTCCCCTTTCTTTTTCCCATCTTTTCTTTAATTTTTTGTTTTTTCTTTCGTTTGTTTTTTCTTATTTGCTATTCTTTCCATCTTTTCTTTTCCTTTTTTTCCTTTGAGAAATTTACTTAAATAGGACTAAAACATAATGATTTTTCCGATATAGGAGCATATGTTTTTATTTCCTAATATATGATCTTTAGTCATTATCAATTTGTCATTATTCAAGTAAATGTCCATCATTATTGGACATTAGTCCTCCCACTAAACATTGTTAAGTCCTATTTATAGCGAATAAAAAAAATTTAAGTCCTACTCCTACATTAGGAAATCACTTACTCCCTCCGTCCCTGAGTGTTTGTCCACTTTCATTTTTGCACATCATCCAATACACTTCTTTAATCCATTTTATCTTGTAATTTGTATATTAAAAAATTATAAAAATTATATATTACTCCCTCCGTCCCGAAATAAATTACAATATTCCCTCACATTTTTGTCCCAAAAAGGATTACAAAATCAATAACTTTATAGTGATTTGACTCTTTTACTCTCCCTTTTTTTCTGCCAGCCACTATTCACACTATTTGGGGGGATTTGGGGAAAAAAATTGATTTGACTCTTCCTTAATTTCAACTAAAATGGAATATTGTAATCTAAAGTGGGACGGAGGGAGTAATAATCTATATGTTAAGACAAATCAAAAAGGATCACAAATGACTATTTTTAGGCTTACACATTGAGAGAATTTGATAAGTCAAAGTGCTTAGATGAACAGTTTCGAAAGTCAAAAGTGGACAAACACTCAGGGACGGACCAAGTATGTTTTAGTCCTATTTAGTGCAAATTTCATTTTTCCTTTTTTAACTATTTATTTATTTATTCATTTTCACTTTTTATATTACTTTCCTTTTTACTTTAATTTTCTTCATAATGTCCTTTTTTTTATTTTTCCCTTTTTAAATATTTTTTCACTGTTTTATTTTTCTATATTTGTTCTCGTTGCTATGTTTTTCTTTAGTTCCTTTTTTACTTTATTTATTATTTATTCCTTTTAAGTCTTTTCTCATTTCTTACTTTTTTTCTTTGTTTCGTTTTCTTTTTTTTTTCTTTCTTTTTTTCTTTATTTATCCATTTTGTTATTTTTTTCCTTTATCTTTATTATTTATCTTTTCTTTTTATATTTAATCAATTTAATTAAACGAAAAAAATCAAATCATACGTATTAATTTTTTTGTTTGTTAACTTTTTTTGTTTGTTTTTAATCTTTATTGTAAACAATTAAATAAAATAAGTGAATAAAATAGGCCTTAAATAAATACATAAAAATGCAAAAAAATGAGAGAAAGTTTAACAACCAAAAAAATTGAAAGCAAAAAAAAAGAGAAAATAATATAAAAAATAAAAAAGCAAAGCAAACAAAAAATGATGGTTATTTACACAAAATATATAAAAAACTTACAAAAAGTTCAAAAAATAACACATAGCCAAACAAATTGATAACATTAAAATATCAAGAAAAAAAGATAAAAAATAATGAAAAAGATCAAAAACAAAAAAGAAACAAACAAGATCGAAAAAATTTTCTCTTGTCTTTTGTTTCATTTTTATTATTTATTTAGGGCTTATTTTATTCACTTGTTTTGTTTAGTTGTTTACAATAAAGCTTAATAAATAGATAAAAAACATTAACAAACAAAAAACTTAAATAAAACAAACAAAAAATTAAGACGTATCGTTTGATTTTTTTATTTAATTAAATTGATTAAATATAAAATAACACAGTTATAAACAAAAAATATAAAAGATAAAGGACAAAATAACGAAACTGATAAATAAAGGAAAAAAGAAAGAAAAAAAACAAAACAAAACAAAGTAAGAAATGAGAAAAGGAAGAAAAGGAATAAATAATAAATAAACATTTCAGAAAGGAACCAAAGAAGAAATAGCAGACAAAAACAAATAAAGAAAATTAAAACAGTAGAAACATTTTTAAAAAGGAAAAATAAAAAAGAGGACAGGATAAAGAAATTAAAATAAAAAGGAAAGAAATGATAAAAATTGAAAAATGAATTTAAAAAAACAAATAAAGAATTAAAAGAGGGACAAAAGAAAAAAACATGCAAAAGAAAAGACAAAAAATAGCAAATAAGAAAAAAGAAAAGAAAGAAAAAGAAAAAAATAAAAGAAAAGTGGGGAAAAAGAAAGGAGAGAAAGAAAGGGGAGGAAGATGAAAAAGAAAAGAATATAAAATATTGGAGTGTAAGGAGAAGAAAAAGAAGAAATGGGGGTCAATGTGAAAAAATAAAAATTCAGATTTTACAACTTGGCCCAAAGCGACTTGCTGGCCACCTCGTAATGGGCAAATGGACTTATAGTGAAAAAATGATAAAAGTTCAGGTATTTTTGTGAAAGGTTTTGAAGTCCAAGTACCAAATCAAAATCTCCGTAAAAGTTCAGGTACTACTCTTGAATTTTACCCACCGACATCTAAAAGGTGAGAATGGCGAACGCATTCGCCATACATTGCAGCCAGAGGCGGATCCACTTGGAGTCCTATGGGTCCAGGGACACTTATATATATATTAGGTATTTTTTAAATACTTATATATATATATATATATATATATATATATATATATATATATATATATATATATATATATATATATATATATATATATATATATAAAACAAAAATCGCTAGCAAAAGTTGTGGTGTATGTGCTCTAGTGGTCACACGCGTATAGTAGTTTTCAAATGGTTGTGTGTTCAATCCCTCCTTCGTTCAAACATGTGTTGTTTTTCTCTTTTAGACTTGTGTTCTTTTTTAATTACTCCGTAAAAAAAACCATCCATAGCAAATTGGTATAAAAAACCGAGATTTTGCGGTAGTCATGTTTATTGTCTTTGCGTTGAGTCCATCTTTTTGCAATATTCGTCGATGAACTCCTCTTCGGTTTTGGGGATGTTGACCTCACTGACAATCTTCACTATGACTCCACATCCGTTCTTGATGATCAACCACAGTTTGTTGTCGTTGGATTGGATGAAAATCTGCATCCTTTCCTTCCAATATGAATAGTTTGTTCCATCGAACAACGGTGGCCTCGTAGTTAATTGTCCCTCGCTAACTCCTGCGTTGAACATTCTAGATGCCATTGATCTTTTAGTTTCTGAAAGTTAAGAAGTATTCGAAAAACTTCCTGCTCTGATACCAATTGCTAGACAAAAGTGCAACTCTAGAGGGGGGATGAATATAGTTGTTTACTAGAATGTGCATTTTTTGCGTGTGTGATAACGGAATAAAAATTGCAGGAATAATGTAAAGAGCAAGGGAAGAAGTACACCGTGATTTATACTACTTCACCACCTCGTGGCTAGTCCAGTCCTTAAAGAGACTCTCTCAAAGGTCCTACTAATATTCAAGCTTCAACGGGTGCTTGAAAAACTGATACAACTCGAGAACTTGAATCACACAAGCTCCAACTTCTTACAACAAGACTTGAGTCACACAAGTCTTAACACCAACTGAAACAAGATTGAGTTTTATAACACAAGAATGAAAGATCACACAATTTGAGCAAGTAGTGTTTGAAATATGAAAGCTCTATGAATGACAATATCTTTAGCACTCAACAAAAATATTTCTAACTCTCAAAAATAATGTATTTGATGAGGAAGATTGAAGCAAGAGTTGAATATTGAGTAATGAAGAAATGGAGTGCAAGAGATGTGTGTTTGATGAAGGAGGATGGAGGATTTTATAGGGTTAAAAGGAATAAATCCGTTGTAGGTAGGGATGAGGTGTTTTTGACAGAATTAACTGGTGGGGATCGATCCATGGGAGAGGATTGATCACCTAGATTAAGAATTCAAGAATAAATTGTTGTCAACAACACGGGGGATCGATCCAAGGCAGAGGATCGATCCAATGGAGACAAAAAACCGGAAATGAGTTTTTGTCAATGTCACGGGGGATCGATCCCGGGGGAATGATCGATCCTCCTATGAAAATCTGGGAAAATAAAATGATCGATCCAATGGAGTGGATCAATCCACTTCCGAAGCACTCTACACGGTGATCGATCCATTGAAGAGGATCGATCCCCTGACGAACAAGGTACAGTCCAGTCCAGGCGGTAGATACCGCAAGAAGAAGAGTTTTTTCACGTTGAGATGGTAGCTGGTCTACTGTTACCGGCGGTATGGCCTACCGTTCCGGCAGTACCTAGGTACAGTCCAAGCAGTAGCTTGATACCGTATCTGCATGAGTTTGAATAATGTCGTTTTAACCTCGAGCCAATTTTCAAAAACTT